GATCCTCAGTTGGTCCTAGTATTAAATCTAAATTGTTAGATGTTTGGTCTACCATTCCCATTCTGGATTTTGTATCTTCATTATAACATACCAAATCCCTCTCGTTCATTATCTCACACATGTTTTCACCATTTCTATCTGTATCTCCACAGTTCCATACAGTATTGTGTGCATTGAAGTCTCCAACATAATATGTTTTGTATGTATTTTCGTTGTTTGTGAGTATCTTTCGCCATGTGGATTTACCCAACCTAATGCCTGGTCTCCTGTATATCGCGACTATGTTGACTTTTTCTGAAATATTCTTTAACGTAATGCCCAACCTTTCAACCGATTCGTGTATATCCTCCCGGCACTTTAAGATATCGAATTCTAGTCTATTGTGTATCACCATAGCTATTCCTTCCTTACTATCTAGATTATTTGATCGATATGTTTTATAACCTGTAAAATAAATTGGAACATTTTTTGGTTGTTTAGTTTTTCCGTTATAACTGCTATATCATAATTTTCTATTCTCATGGCCAATTCTTCTTTTTTATTTCTGATCCCTCTACAGTTCCATACTAATATTGTGACTGAGGCCATTGTGTATGGGTATAATAAAATAGCAACTTAAATATTTTATAAAAAGAAAAATTACTCTAGGTAAAAATTTTCGTAGTGGCCTTTCTTATAAAATAACGATAATAAAATGTAAAATAAATAAAAATAAAGTTAAAATAAAAATAAAATAATCTAAGAATATAAAAATTTTTTTTTTAATAAAAATAAAAATAAAAAAACAAAAAGCAATTGAGTATCAAATTTAACAATGCATACTAAAAGTATCAGTCTTATGGATTGACTATGATTCTACTTGTACTATGAAACGTAACGATTATGAACTACCTTATTGTTAATCTTATTGTCTAATATTCTTTAAGTTTTATCTGTATCTTGTAAACGATCTAAATCTTCCTAATCTTATTATAAACTATAAAAAACGGTAAACGGTTCTTAATTTGTCTCTTAGGTTCTAACTTAATGCTATGATATGTCTTTTGATCTATTCGTTATCCTTCCAAAAGTCCTGTCTCATTTTTTCCACTATCCTATTTTCTCTGTGTTTTCTTTCTTCTCTATATATCCTATTTCTGTCTCATATAATGTCCTTCTGGTTGTTCCTTATCTTGCTCTCTGTTCGTCTGGTCTCCTTCCCAACCCTTGTCTCGTTTGAGCTCGTGTGCCTGTTCTAAGAGGGATTTCAAATCTCAATCCTTCTCCACTGCCACCAGTCTGGCTATAAATTCCTTTCTTTTTTCTATTCTCTGTGATCAATGTCTTCCCTATTGAGTAGCCCTCCTGTTCATTGCTAGAGAAGTTTGTCAAATTTCCTTCCTTCTCCTGTGACGCAATTCCTCTCCTTTCCTTCGTAATTTCTCCTTCTCTCGTGTTGAACTGTGCGTAATAATTGGTTCTCGTTGCAGGTACCTTTGTCCTTCTTCTTCCGTCCTCACTCTTCTTTGCCTGTCTTATGAACCCGGAATTGTCAGGTGAGAAGTATGGCAGATCATCGTTGCTTGTATCATCTGCATCTTCCACTTCCCCTTCCATTCCTTTTCCTTTTCTGTTGTTTTCTTTACCTATCACTTTATCTCTATACAGAGGTTTCTGCCTCTGATTCACCTTCTGTCCTGGTTTGGAGTGGCCAAGTATTTGGTTTTTCGTACTTGTCGTAAACCTCTGTTGGACCTTCCTCACTGCCTTCCAGGATTTCAATGGCTTCCTTATATGAAGCGTTATTATATGCCATCACTTTTTTAATCCTTTGGTTTCTGTCATATACATCGCACTTCCTGTCTGTAGATTTATGTCCCTTTCCACAGTTGCGACACTTTGTTGGTTTGTCGCAGTGGCCATGTGCTTTTTCACCGCAGTTGATGCAGCATTCTTCACTCTTACAATGTATCTTTCTGTGACCTATCTGAAGCACTTATAACATTGCATTACTGGGGCCACATATGGTCTTACTCTTAGTACAGCTAGATCGTTAAAAAAACTTATCTTGTCCCTAGGCTGGTTTCCTTTAAAAGTGATTATTACCGAATCAACCGGCTCGAATTCTACCTTATTCTCCTCCTTGTTCCATCTTCTTCTCATCATTCTTTCTATTCTTACGACATCCTCTGTGACATCCTTTGTGAGTAAATCGTAGAAGTCCATGATTGAGTCTAGGTATAGCGGTACAACACCTTTGAAGCACGTGTCCCGGTCTTCTATTCCCGCTCTGTACCCTTCTTTTTCTTTGTCTTCATTAATCTTCTTAATGGCACTGTTCGCGTCTATTGGATTTAAAAAATACAATATAGCCATCTTAAATCCGTTCATCATTATACGTTTAGGATATATTCTTTTATCTTTTAACATATGCATAATCTTAAAGTAGTTGCTGCCTTTTTTGGCTGTACCTGCTCTTTCCGTTATCCTAAGTGTGACCTTGTAGTTGCTTCCGAAATTTTCTTCAAATTCCAGTCTCCTACTAACCTTAGACACATCGATCTCACTAATGTGCTTAAGCACACCATCCTCCCTCACGTATGCTTCCCTCTTCCTTTGCTCATTACTCGTTGCCATATTGTTCGTAGTATTTGTCCGTTGTATTTCGCTACTTACTGACTGCGAGCCTTTGTTGCAGCCCGCCGTTGCTAACGTGTCTCCTTCCCCCTCCGTTTCCATTTCTTTTTCCGATTGGTCCCCTCCTATATCATGTGTCTTTGAGCCATTCGGATTATTAGTTTCTCCCGCGCACTTCTCAGTCTTTGAAATTTGTTTTCTTGCCTTTTTCTTCTTTCTTTCTACAGTTTTCCATTCTTCATTCTCATTCTCGGTGTTCGTCGCATCTAACATCAATTGATCCAGCGTGTCTTCTGGCCTTTTTCCTTTGTTACTTTCTTCATTCATCTCTACGTTTAGTCTTGCTTCGAGCCTCCTTATTGTCCTCTTTAGTATCTCATTCTCTCTCAGCCAAGCTTATGCTTTCCCTTCTCTCCTCTCGCTCCCCCTCTCCCGAGGGCTCCTCGCAATCCTTTATTTCTTCTATATTGCTCTAATAATACACCCATTCCTTAATAGATTCTACTATTGCACGTCAATCTATACCTATTAAGCTCTGAAAAGAGCTGATTTACCTAATCCGAGGATTTCTAACACTAAAAAACCGCCAGGCATCACTCGAACACGTCCGCACCACTCGAACCGCCCTCTCTGCTCTCTATTTTGAAAATCCGTTGGAAGAAGGTTAAGAATCTTCTTCCTTTTACATTAATAATTATAAAATTAAATAATTAAAATAATAACAGTAAACAATACACAGAAATTATTGCGTTTTGGAGTGTAAAAATAATAAAAAAGTGATTTTCTATGCACCCACTTCCAACTGATCTTACAAAAAAATTATTATGAATTATTATATTGAAAAAATTAATAGAAAAGATTGGAATTCCTAAAAAAATGGTTTATATGTAAAAAAAATGTTAAAGAAAATTTTTATAAAATTAAAAATGTTAAAATGTTAAATGTTAAATGTTAAATACTAAATGTTAAATGTTAAATATTAAACATCGAATTAAAAATTACCGTGACGCATCAAATGTTTAAAAATTAAAAATGTTAAAAAAAAATTAAAATGTTTTAGAAAAAACAATTTATTTTTTGTCAGTGAACAAGTTTTTGAATATATTTATAAAATGGAAATAATTATTCATAAATATCTGCCATATTTAGGAAATAGTAAATGTAACTTTATTCATTTCGTTTTGAAAAAAATGCAAAGCATTTTAATTGTGAAACAATAAAAAATTGTCACCTATCTATAAAAATTGTCAACTATCTATAAAAATAAGAAGCGTTTTATATGTTTACGTATGAGAATCGCATCAAAAGAGTTGATTAAAAAATGTAGTATACAATAGCAAAACAATGGCAATGCATTCTGCAACTAGATAATTTTTAAATAATTTTAATGCTATAAGAGAATAAAAAATCTATACTTAAAATTGTTTTCTGATTTATTGTATCTCTCTTGTTTGAATTAGCCGAAATTTTGTAATAACTCTCATTGGTTCCGCCACACTATTCTTAAGCTTAATTCAGTCAATAGGCGCGAATACAGTGAGTGACCAGGCTCTGATTTAGGGACTCTAGTTTTGTTTCGATTACTGCCGCCATCTATCGGCATAATATGTTAGTACGTTTTATCATATTTTTGACAGTCTATCGATATCATTAGATATTACAAATTTTTGAAATTTATTGCTTTTCTATCATCATTGATACATATTCATATTATATTAAAAATTTGTCTGTGCAAGTTTGATTAGAATAAGAAAGGGAGCGTCCCGTTTGACCACGTTGCGATTGACCACAGCCATTTACAGCGGCCAGTACCTAGAGGTTTTCCTCTGTTCAAATGCTATGAATGGCTGGATCGCATAAGAAAGGTAACATCTCATCATCTTTATGATCTCATCATCTTTAAAATATATTGCATATAAAATCTTAAATCTTGTTTGAATTATACAAGAGTCGCTTCCAATTTCTGAAATGTGTCCAAATTCTGAAATTTTTAAATATTTTACATATAAAAACTTGAAATCCATGAAATATGAATTTTATTTTATTTGTAATTTATTACAAAATGGGAATGCTTGTGTAAATTTGCACTCGCACTGTACAAACGCGAGTACAGATTTATTCCTAATCCGAAAATTAATGTAACCCAAACCAACTTTTAGTTTTAAATTAGAAATTAATTTGGGTAAGGTTCGATTTTTGAATAAAAAAAAGTGAAAGAAAGAAATCAGATCTCGCACTTTATTTTCACAATATTTTTGTGTTTCATTATATTATTTTGAAGAGCGAGCGTAGCATAGTAGTGCACTGGCCTATTATGCTAGAGGTTCTGAGTTCGATTCCCGGCAGAGCCAAAAATATTTACGCTCGTCTCCTCTCGAAAGGCAATGGCAAAACCACCGAGAGTAATTTTGCTATGAACATCTTTCTATCAAAAATTTGCCGGAACTGGCGTTAAACTGGTCCTATATACCTGTGTATAGTCGTCGTGCGCATTACAGATATATGAGAGAAATCACTACGTCCGGACACGAACAATAGGACTAGATGATGATATTGTTTTGATTTTTATAAAAAAATATATCTTATATGTATCATTCATTTTCAGTTAATTTATTAATATCAACTGAAACAATACAAGCATACCGGTAAGCAATTTGTTAGCAATTAGATATCAGATTGTCGACAAATTCAAATTTGTCTGACAAATCTATAGTCAGTTGATAAACATGTGATCTACAAATAATACACTATTTGTTTATAATGTATATCTTCAAACATTTTATTAGAGGCGCACTAAGCTGATGTCCTATTATTTTTAGACCACACATCTAAATATTTCGCCGCTCTACTAGCAACTGCAAATGCGCATAATGCTAAGCGGTCATATCTCGCTGCATTTAATATTATTTGTTAATGGGCTGGATAGATACGCGCTATTCGGCAATCTTTAATAATTAATAATTTATTGCGAAAATCGATACAAAATGGTTTTTTTCTACGAAGTTTGACCCATTTTATTTGCATACCGTTGTACTATTTTAACCTTGTATTAAAAATGTATAAAAATAATTGGTAAATAATAAAAAGTAAGTTTAAAATCCTATCCGACCGTGTAATGTTATAAGCTTATTGTCTGTTCAACATGTCCGATACATATCCAGATACATATACTTATTTGTTAATCGATATGTATATCTTATTATTATTGGAATGGTGCTTAATTTTGTAGCATTCTTTTGTCAGTTTATTATACGATTGTTGAATGAACGCAGCTTCACATTGGCCAATTCTGTAATTAATTAATATCATGAATTAAAATATTTAAACGGTCAAAGGTCACATATTCATTCTGAGTGTGGAATATCTCCATTTATGTCAAAATTTCTCTCCTTAAAACGAGAAAACTGTTTTCTTGCTATTTTCGCCAATTACGTCCTCCACATATACGTTATTTCTAACTGCCTCTGCTGAAGTGATTCCCTAATTAAACTTAAACAAAAGCACATATTCGGAAATTTTCTTTTTCTTTTACTTGACACTCCATAATCCTTACTCAACTAAAAAAAAATTATTCAAAAGATTCGAAACAATAAGATTAGGGCTTTAAAATAATTTGTATAGAACATTATAAACATTCTTTTTTTTAAATAAACTTCCATTAAACAGAAAACGATATGAAATTATGCATCAATCCAATGGAAACCGAAAGCATTTCTTATATATCACAGAATTTTATATTATGCAATATATTCCAAGATTAAGTTAATCGATGAAGTAAATCTTTTTTATACATTTACCATGAATAAATTTTATAGAAAATTTAAAAAGAAAAGATAAGGCATTTCAGGAAGTATCCTAATTCTTTTGTAGCAATCATATATTAAAGTTTATTTGAATAATATATACAATTAGAAATCAAAAGTCATAAAGAATTGATTAAATTGAACTAAAACTAATATTTTTTGCAGGGTAAAGTAATCATGCACGATCCGTTTGCCATGAGACCGTTCTTTGGTTATAATTTCGGACACTATCTCACTCATTGGTTAAGTATGGCGCATGTGAAGAATGCTAAATTGCCAGCAATATTTCACGTAAATTGGTTTAGGAAAGATTCGAATGGAAAATTTCTATGGCCCGGATTCGGTGAGAACTCACGTGTTCTTGACTGGATTCTTCGAAGAATTGAAGGTGAAGATATTGCCGAAGATTCAGCTATTGGTTTATTGCCAAAACCAGGATCTATCAATATAGAAAACCTCAAAGTTAATGTGAATATGACAGAATTATTTAGATTGCCGAAAACTTTCTGGCAAAAAGAAGTCGAAGATTTGATGAAATATTTTGATGCTCAAGTAGGAAACGATTTACCTGAAGCTATAGTAACAGAACTTACTCGTCTTTCTAATAACGTTAATAATCTTTAATATTTCATAATCATATATATAATTATGTTTAATAATTACATTTTATATTTAATATTATGCTTTAAGTATTTACAACTTTAATATGAAATTATAATAACAATACAATTATAATTTTGGTTGTTATGTAATAAAATTACATAATAAAACTTTATTATAATGATTTTGAATAAAAGAAAAGATTTTGCAAAGGTAGAATATTGTAACAAAATTTAATGTAACAATTTTATATTAAAATAAAAAAATACCAATAAAAAATTGTTTACAAAGAATAGAAAAATTTAAGAATTTCTTATATAAAATGTTTAGAGAGCTCTTTGATAAATTGTTTGACAAACTTTTCTTGGCAAAAACTTAATGGATATCATTAATTTTCAATATTACATATATAATTAAATTTTTAAAATTAAAATAGATTAATATTTAAAATATAAACATAAGATTTTGCTATTTATTTATATTATTAAATTTTTTTTAAATTAATAAAAAATAATTAATTAATAATAATTAATAATAATTAATAAAATAATTTTTTCAATTATATGGATTTATTAATTATATTCTTATATATATTCTCTTACTTCAATGTTAAATTGAAAATAATTTATTTTATAATACGAATTGAAAATATGCACATAATGTGACTAGTATTAAAAGAATAAATGCTTCATATTCCAAATGTTCCAAAAAATAAATTCTGTTTTAATTGCATTTTTATTAAATTTCAATAAGAATATTTTTAATACTGTATTAAATATAATAATATTACTTATATTATGTCTTTGCTATTATGATTTATGTCTCTATTTAATGGAAATTTATTAATTTGCAATAATATGTGAAAAGTAATATTATAACAATAATAATACAATATTGAATAATTATTTTAATAATATTATAAGTGTATGTGTATTTAAGGCTCTTGACTATTCAGCTCCGCGTTGACGGTGGCGACACAATGTCGCAGTAATATTTAGAATTATTCATTCTTGTTCATCTTATTCATTTTTATCCTTGTTCTTATCTATTTTTATATTAGGCGTAAAAATAATATGTTGACAATACAATGACATTTTTATTGCATATTCTTTCGTTATTATGTACTTAATGATACAGATGTAACTTATCTCGTATTTATTAAATTCATAAAAATGGACAGCAAATAAAGTTACCTTTGAATTTTATATAAAAGCATATTTTTCATTTTTTCAACAGCTGTCAAATCGTATGTTTTTTTATCCAAATAAACTTTATTTCACATGCTTTTTATGGCTATTTATTGACTATTGACTAAGAAAGTATAGTAGAGAAACTATAGCCATTTCTACAAGTGTCTTAAAACCATCTCAAGTATCGTTTTATTCAAATATCTTTTTATTTGTAAATTTACGTGCAATAAATGTCACTGTGTCATTTCTCGTTTATGACGATTCCAATATGATCAATAGTTAGGGGCCTTAAAAGATGTATTTTTATGAAACAAGAAATAATTCTTTATATTCTAACTAAAAACGATCTCGTTCCCGGGATGTAGAATGCGAAATGATAGTTAGAATATTAGGCAGAAAGAGTTATATGTAAGATATTGAAAGTTTTGTTAAATAAAGAATATTTAATAAAAGAAATATAACAGCTGTTTTCCATGAACCTTTACTATGAAACTTTGACTTCTGAGCAATATTCGATAGCATACTCGATACTATATGGTTAGGCGTAGGGTTAATGACGACTTGCAATTGTGTGTCTTCGCTCTTGGAAAAATTTATTCTAAATAAAGTTTTTAAAAATAATTAAAAGTGTATTTAAGAATTTTGTAATCTAAAGTGATCTAAGAAATTTAAAATATTTCAAAATCGACTTTAAAATAATCTTCAGGTACTCTAAAGAAAAAGTAGCTTTAAAGTAATGTCAGTAAATCTTAGGTAATTCAAAAGTAACATTAAACTTTTAAGTTTTCTTATAATTTTTTATCTTAAACTTAAAGTGAAAATAAACTTTTAAGAAGATTTACCTTATGGTTAATTTTAAAGTTACTATTAAGACTAAAAGTACTATTAGGGCCGGTCTCACTCTAGTTAACTTAATCGATCGATTATCTTATTGAAATTGAACTAACACACTTGTCGTTAAACTTGTCGTTAAACAAAATATACCAGAATTGATCACTCATGATTGGCACATTTATGCTTGATTCCACAAACGTAGATTAACTTTAATCTTGGTTCAACTTGCTCTTTATTTTTTATGAATTTTTAGAATTAGAGATCGAGATTAAAGTTAATCTATATAGAATCTTTGTGGAATCGAGCATTAGTCGATTAGCCGGAGTTGGTAAGACCGATTAAAATTATTTTCTTTATTTGCTTTATCTAAAAATTTTAAAGATTTTTAAGAGGATGCTGGACTGACGAGCGAACTCTGACGAGAACGTTCACATATGCACATTTAAATATACATAGGTACATTTGTATGCATACATGCACTACATATATTTCTGTATACATATGAACTTAACTTCCTAAACTTCGCCTACTTTCGTACTTTTCCATTTACTTCTATAAGCTTTCAAATCATATTTTGAAGTGCTTAAAATATTCTTAGATATTGTACAAATATGGGTAGGTAAATTTTAAATTCAATAGTTATTTGGTATTATTTATATCAAGTGAATAAGTAAATTAGACGGTAACAAAAAACTGTAATACAAAATTTGTTTTTGTTTTTTTATATCAACTAATATCTTTCCATACTTAGTTGGATATTTTCTCTCATTCTATAAAAGGATTTTTTAATTTATGTAAGGAAAGCGGAGAAAATAGAAAAGTACTAAATATATATTCAGTCGGTGAAACAGACGAGTCTAGCATCCTCTTAAGTTTCCTTTTAAAGTAAAACTAATCACTTAGCTACTTTCATATCTCACATAGAACCGTCCAATAAACGTCCATTAGACATCAGTTATGGATATTCGGAATTTCCAATAGACGTCCACAAGAAATCCACAGTTCCGTTTTGTGGAAGTCTATGAGATCTCCATTAGACGTCTTCCAGACGTCTGTTAGACGTTTGTTAAGTGGATCACTAATAAACGGAGTCTCGGTAGACGACCACACAGAATAAAAACCTCTAAGATGTCCTCTCTAGATGTCCATTAGAGGTCCATCATGGAAGTTTGTAACCTCCATTAGAAATTCATGAACCTTCCAAAAGACCTCTACAGAAAAAGTTAATAAAAAGAATTTTTTATAATGCTGAACAAAAATATTTCTTTGAAGGAACGAAGCGCATATACATACGTAACGTGCAATGGAACTAATGAGATCTTTTGTTGCGAAAGAGTAAAAGTTTATTCGTACTTCATCTAGAACATGAAAATATAGGCCGGGAATAGAGAGAGCCGAGAAAGATAACGAATTCGGAAGTGACAATTGATCGATCTATATCTCGATCAATATATATATCGATCAATAGATTAGTTCAGAAAGTTCCTGCGCATATGCGTTAAGTCAGAATTTGGCAGAACCGACTTTGTACTGATAATCGCTTTCTTTAGTCTCGGCTATTATAGAGTACGCATCCGTACTATTAGTACTGTAAGCGCGAGTGATTGTACTAAACGTTCACTAATTAATAAAAGAAAATTAATCAACCGTCTAATATCTTTTTTATCTTGTAATGTCGGTAATGTCAGTTTTCTGAGGGTCATCCATCCTTGTAGTATACATGGTCGAACTCGTTTCACCTCTGTGACCGGCTGAAATAAGATACTAGAATAATAATATAATTAAACTTAGAATTTTGATGTAAAATATGACAGATCTCCGATCAGTAAATGTTAACACATTGTTATAAAAATTCAAATAGTGTCAATGTCCTGATAGCGTGTGTAATTTTTATAGATAATTTAATTATATATTAGGTGTACAAAAAAGTTCTGAGCTTTAGATTTCATACATCCGAAATAACAATTTAAATTTTATATATCTTCCCGCTCTTTTGCGGTTTTAAAGCATTTGACATTTGGCCTTCTAAAATGCCATACGGTTTGGCGTTTGATGCACATAACCTCAAAAATCAGTAGTGTTCATAATGGCAATAACAAAAGATCATATTCGATTTTCCATCCACGCGTTTCATCTGAAGAAAAATGCTGCTGAAGCCATTGCAATGATTTATGCTGCATATGGAGAGAACGCTGTAATTCATATTACATGTAAAAGATGGTATCAAAAATTTCGCCAAGGAGATTTCAGTCTTGAAGATGAACCGCTGGACGCCCTCAAAAGATTGAAATGGACGAATTGCAAGCACTGCTAGATATAAACTCTGCGCAAACTGAAAAGGAGCTTGCAGAACAGCTTGGCGCAGCAAACCATTTCCGTACGTTTACATACGATGGGAAAGGTTCAGAAGGAAGGCAGATGGGTTCCGCATGAATTGTCCGAAGACAACAAAAATCGTCGGCGTGACACTGCACTCACTTTGCTTTCAAAGTTCCGGAAAAAAGATTTTCTGCGCAAAATCATTACAGGCGATGAAAAGTGGATTCTTTATGATAACCCTAAACGTAGAAAATCATGGGTTGACCCTAGTCAACCTTCGACATCGACGCCAAAGCCCAATATCCACGCCAAGAAGGTTTTGCTCTGTATCTGATGGGATTGGAAAGGTGTGTTGTATTACGAATTGTTACAACCGGGCGAAACAATCACAGCAGACCGCTACCAACAACAATTGACCAATTTGAGCGATGCATTAGAAGAAAAGAGGCCATTTACTGGTCAAGGACGTCGTAAAATGATTTTGCTTCATGACAATGCTCGATCACATGTTGCGAAAGCGACTCAGGACCATATCTTTGCGTTAGGCTGGG